GACAGTGAGACACTGGCCCCAGGCCTAACATGCGTAGGAGGGGAAGAAACCTGCCATATTGGCGGTTGTCGGCGCAAGATCACCCCCACGATAACGGCGGTTTGTCGTCGAGAGGTCACCCCCGCGATAACAGCGGTTGCTCGTTTACAGATCACCACCTTCCATGTTGCCAATAACGACAAACACCACACTTCAAATGTAATTATGCTAGCATATGTAATTACTCTATAACTCAGACGACACTGCAGCTGATACCTTTCTCTTTCGACATCGTGTACATATACTGATCGCGGCACAGAAGTTTCACTTTGATTGACGTGGTGGCGTCCAAGGAGAGCGTAATAGGACTGTCCGCTACTGCCGTGAACTGATAATCGATTGTGAGATTGCCTCGCGGTTTTTACGGTGTCTGTGACAGGGTCCATATTGAGATTGATCGGGATCATAACCAGTTGTTGCATTAGTCCTCGGCCGTGATGGGCACTTCTGTGCCGTACGCCTTTCGGAAGAACTCTTGGACCAAGTTGTAGCCTCTCAGGTAGGAACTTTTATTGGGGTCGTAGAAGTAAGTGGCTCCAGTTTGGTTGCTTCGCCCGCGCTGCACTGCCACGAGAACGTCAGGGGGTGATCAAAGAGGTTCTGCTCGTTCACGATGATGCGGAGCTGGCTTAAGTTGGCGTGGATCATAGCCAATTGGTTACTGGAGTCGGCGGTGGTATTTGGGGCAAGTCCTGGTGCGTCTCTGAGCCTCGAGTCGGTGAAGAAGAGAATAATCTTCCTGGGGATCGGGGCATTGTGCAGGAGCGCGAGAGCGCCAGTGTCATCGTTCAACGACTTCTGAACTACCCTGGGGCACCAGGTGGGAAAATACAGCTCCTTAGCCATCAAGATCTGGTGTCTGTAGTCTTTTTTCATGCGATAGTTGGGGTAGACAAAGTCGAGCTCTAGCAGACCTATACGTATTCCGCTGATAACGTCTGCGTTATCCGCACCTCCCCCTTTGTTAGAAATGATCATGTAGCGACTGAGATCGCCTTGTGGGAGGTCGACGCAAATCTTCACAAGTGTGCACGAAGGCAGCCAACTATCCCCAAAAGAGAAGAGGGGGAGGAATGGGGGAAACTTATACTGACAGTTCCTGCTGAGGACACGGACAATATTTTCTTGCACCGTATTCGAGAAGGCTTTGGTTGAAGAGAGCGGGACACCAGGTGCCCTTTTGAGAGTATTATCGGCATTAAAGGCATAGCCAACGCTACGGCCAACTCCATGGGCGTACGTCTGCAAGGGGAGAGCTTTCAAAGCCTTCTTAGGATCCAGCTTCTGTAAGCCGAATAAGTCACTATATGTGCAAATGTGCTATTACAGTTTTACAAATCATGAGAGTTTTTGAATGTAACCTTTTGTGATATATCAGTATCATTGCAGAATTTTTGTTTTACACTTTTGAATTCTCCTTCATGCATTTCATCAATGCTATCACATGTAACAGGGGCAGTTGGAAGGATCTAAAATAAATAAGAATACATTGAAACTTTATGGTATGAGTGTCCTTCACAAAAACAGAGATAGTTGCTGCTGCAACAGAGCAGAATAACAAAGTTTTGTGCAACACGAATTATCAATTATTTCACATAAATTGAACGGCACTTATACAGAACTAACCAGCAATTTTCTAAGAGATCTATAAGGCATGCTAAAGACTTTCATTTTATTTACTATGTACATATATAAGTGACATTTTACTAACCTTAGAAAAATGAAGCGTCGTTTGTGATGCTTCTACAACATCTTGGGATTTTGCCATACCTTTGTGTTTACTTGAACTGTGCTTCAAAAAATTATCAGCATTCATTTCTGCACCACAATCTTTACATTTAACCTTTTGTCTATAAATTCCTAACCAGAACAGATGACGGTACACTAAACACACAAGTATACCGCAAAACCACTCACACAGAACAAATACTCGATTTCAACAGCAATCATCCAACACAACACAAAATAAGCTGCATTCGAACACTTTTCAACAGGATAAACACTCATATTAATACGGAAGAAGCCAAAAAAACAGAACGCAACTACTTATACTCCACATTTATTAAAAGCAATTACCCTAGAAACTTTATAAACAAAACTATATACAAAATACAAAACAAAACACAAACCGACAAAAGCAACAAAAAACCGGACGAAACAGAAAAAATCATCACATTACCATACATAAACGGAAAATCAGAAATGACTGCCAGAATTCTTCGACCATTTAATATTAACGTCGCCCTCAAACCTACACAAAAACTCATATCATGTTTCACCAAACATAAAGACAAAACAACAATTCATGATACAACTGACGCGATCTACATGATACCATGTAAAGACTGTTTAAAGCAATACATAGGACAAACATCTAAGAAAATTGAAACAAGACTCACAGAACACAAAAACGCCATAAAACGACGAGATCCGAACTCACTACCGGCAGAACATACCCACGGAAACAACCACACATTCGACTGGACAGAAACTGAAGTACTCGGACGCGCACAGACTAAACACGCACGCTAATTTGACAAGCTTGGTACGGTAAAGACAACGACACAATAAACAGACATATCGACATACCCATCATATACTCACAACTGAAGAAAAAGGACAAAAAAACTACAAACAACACCAAAACTAAAACACTACACTCTAATATTATTAACACCAATCATATTCACAATACACCAAAACCCATAGCAACGCATTTCACCCCATCCAATCACATTGACCCACCCACTAATCCAATTAGACGCTCTAAACGTCTCCAAGCTAAAAAGCACGTGTAAATAAATATCCTCATTCTGATGAAGGCTCGAAGCAACGAGACGAAAGCTCAATAAAAATCACTTAAAATCCGGAGAAACTTTTATCTTTTATGTATTTCAATGCCTGGATTACAAATTTTCAAACTTATATATATGTATATACAAAGTGTATATACTATGTGCCCTCCCGGATATCACCATATTAAAATAGTGACTCCTGCACTTGGGACACAGGACGTACGGTTACACATTGTATGGATTGTATTGTAGAGTCACCAGAGCGCTCAAACCTATAAAGGTGAACTTTGCATAAAGCGAAAGCGGTGGACGTCTCTTTATGAGACTCTCTGCGCAATCCAAGAGCGCTCAAACTGCGCAAGCGCAGCGAGCGTAATATACAAAGTGTATAACAATGTGCCCTCCCGGCTATCACCATAGTAAAATGGTGACTCCTGCACTTGGGACACAGGACGTACGGTTACACATTGTATGGATTGTATTGTAGAGTCACCAGAGCGCTCAAACCTATAAAGGTGAGCTTTGCTTAAAGCGAAAGCGGTGGACGTCTCTATGTACATATCTATATATGATAATGATAAGGATTCTCTGGATTTTTATTTTGAAATTTTTTTACTAAGCTTTCAACTCGGTGCTTCGAGCCTTCGTCAGAATGTAAGAATATATTATTTACAAAGGCTTTGTTGATGATGAGAATCCTTATCATTATCATAATATGCCGGGGTTACCAATTTTCAAATATATATATATAGTTGCCTGAAGATCGCCCTACGGCGTGAAACTCCGAGTAGCGACAGCAAACAATTGTCCATTTTATTTTAGTTCATTTTATCTTACGCTCTTCTAATATATAGAATATTGAGCGCTCTTTTATCCAGGAATATTATCCATAATAATATATATATATATATATACAAAGTGTATATATAAAAAGTGAATATATATATAAAGTGTATATGTATATAAAGTGTATATATATATAAAGTGTATATTATATGTGTAGTGGTGTTGAGAAAGATCACAAAACTACAGATTCATCCCGACAAGCCTGTTTCGTAACTGTTCAGGTTACTGTTTTATACGGTAAATCATAAATTATAAACTTCCTAAAGTGTATATATATATATATATATATATGTAGGAAGTTTATATTTGATGATTCTCCGTATAAAACAGTGCTCGATGCCCGAGAGCAGAGCGTAAATATATATATGTATGTACATACACACCACATCACAGTCCTCACTTGCCATTTAATACTGTCTGATGATGTCTTGAGAGTCAAGATGAAACGTTACGCCATTGAATAAATATTCCTTTTTTATTTAATATTTTTGTATTAAATGGCTTTTTAAAAGCACTTTGCTGGGCTTTAATATTTATAATGAAAAATCATCTTTGACTTTAAAAGTTTTGTGCTTTTTGTTGTTCATGGCTCAAAACAAGTTGTGTAGTCAACTCATGTAATTTTTGCCAGTTGGGCGATATTTATGTAGTCAAGCTTTATACAGGATTAAGCTCCTTTGAAATCCATTGTTTTCTTCCAATTATTACCTGCATAATTCTATGAACATCACCATCACACCTATTATATCGATATTTAACGATATATTATAGTATTAACAACATATTATAGTAAAGACGAAACATATTACAGTAAAAAGTTTCCAACACTCGCTTTCTTCGATGGCTCAGTGTGGCTTATGACTATGACGTGGCGAATTCAAGTTCATCTCTGTCGGTATGTAAACGTCTAATAAAGAATCTTTGTGATTCTGTTTACAGTTCCCAGTGCATAGTTTATAACAAATCTTATTTTGTAATTTCATGTCAAATTTACAGTCTTGCATGCCGATGAATCGAGTACTCAAAAATAACATGACCTCGCAGTGCAAAAGCTCGATAGTCTTTTAAATTTCGACTCCTATAAGAAAAGCTCTTCATTGCAAAACAGCAAAAGACAAATGAATAAATGTAAATTAGAGTCACAATCACAATTGCTTTAAATAATAAATTTTATTATCAACATAATAACATTACTGAATACGTAAATACATGAAAGCTATAGTCCACCGTTTAAAAAAAATGTGCAAAAATCATTTACTCAATACAGTTACTTCTGTAAGTGATGATATAAATACTGCTTTTATTGACTTGTTTTGTATTGTATTGTATTCATGTGGAAGTTTACGTGTCTGTTTCAGCAAGGAGCTCTGTCTTAGCTTCTAAATACGTATATATAATATCTCTCAATGATTACTCAAACATTCGCTGCTCTAGGTAGGTGTTTGGTGATTTAAGTCTTTCCACAAAAGATTTCACTGCTGTGTCTAAAGTCGAAAATGTTTAAGTTACTGTTTCTTCTATGCATTGTCGTGAATAATTTTCAAGGTATTAGTTGCTACATTATTTTTTTCTTCAATCGCTAACATTTTTTTTGTGCTAATTGACCTTTGTGTAATTATATTAACTCGTTTTAGTAAATGAAGCAAGTAGATGTCCATCTGGTTGGACTTATCTTCGTCAATCTTGCTACTACTTCAGTACAACCAAAACAACTGGAAGCAAAGCCATTCTTGAATGTCAACGCATGGGAGGATATCTTGCTTTTCCAAAGAACTTGGTTGAGAATAACGCCATTTACAGTGCTGCCAAAAGAAAAAATCTGCAAAATCCATTTATTGGTTTGTTTCGTAATAAAGACGACAAGAAATTTTATACAATGCAACATGTCCTGCCTACATTTATCAATTGGGCTTCCGATGAACCTAATAATCTTGGAAACAAAGAGAATTGCGTCCATTTTTATCCAAAAGGCAAATGGAATGATGTCCCATGCTATTTTTCCTACCACTACATTTGTCAAAGTAAACCAACATCTTTGAAGTGTCATTGTACGTGCGAATGATTTTTTATCTCGACGAAGAAGGAACAGGAAAGGACAGTTTAATGGTGGACGTTGGCTTAGAAGATACTTTACTTATGATACATTATCAAGCAGGCACTATTTTGATTTCACTAGTTTACATATTGTAAATATTTTCAGTCGAGCCAGCCAATAAATAATGCATTAAAATTACATTTGTTGTTCCAGCGTTTTTATACGCATCTTCGTTGATATTAAAGTGTACTGCATTAACTTTCTCACGAATCACGGAGCATATAAGCACCTCTCTTTCAATGAGTGCATGCAGATAGTGTTTGTAAGAGAATTCTGTTGAAAATACTGTTAGCCAAGTACCATGCAGGCAAACTATTTGTTTTTAAAAAATTGTTCAATTTTATCACCAAGCTAATTCATGTTTGTTTGTACGTACAAACTTATGACAAGGAATCGTGAATCTTTGTTATTCCCTTCATCGTTCTTACGTCGTGTTATAAATTTACATTTTCCATCGCAAATCTTTCATGACCATGCATGTCAAATTTGAGCAAAGTAATGATTGCCAAACTCTTGCTATTTTTGTTACTCAGGCTAGCAAAGGTAAGCACGATTTTAAAAAACGGATATTTCTATATTGCAGCGAAATTACATAAATCACACGTGACTTATACAAAGTTCTTCAATCAATAAAGTGTTTATTGGATCGCTTCAAGCGAGAGTATAACTATTTACATGTATAATGAACACAATTTACTTACATAATATATTGCCACATATGAGATTGCATTGCTATAAAATTCGTTGTGCAAATTGGCAACTATTTAATGCCATTAATACACAATATAACGGAGTAGCCCTGTTTAAATGCCTGATAGGCGTTTCTTTAGCTGTAGTTTGGCTAGGGTGCTATACAAATGTGGTCAGTTCAGTGATAAAAACAAGAGTCTTTGTTGTTCCATTCATCATTTCTACTTATTAACTATATAAAGGCTGACTGCTCAAATGAGTAATTAGTGAAAATGATTTATATTTTGCATTCAAAACCTTGGTTCAAAGAAAGGCAATAAAATTAAGGATACATTTAGACTGCCGGTATGAAAATAAGTTTTTTATTATATACTTCTGCAATGAAAGAAAAATAAACAGCTTGTCAAATACTCGGGCTCACTATTAGGCTATGGGCCCAATCGCAAAAAGTCGTCTAGAAATAATATCAGCATGCGTCCACGGAGGAACGAGCGCAATTTTACATTATGGGGAGTTTATACTATTTATATATCATTTTCCGAAGATATGTTAAATCTAAAAATTGCACATACATAGCAAACGAAAAAAAGGCATTTTTTCTCTGCTTGGTTGAGCCAAAAATCATCAATACCATGCTCCTAGTATATTTTTCTACTTCGGTTTGTTAATAAAATTGCTAAGTCAGCCGTTTAGTCCTAATCAATTGTGGAAAGTTATGACTTTGAGCGTCTTAGTCGTCTATATTTCTATACAGAAGCCTTCCTGTAGGCTTCATTACATGCAATATGAGTACAGATTTGGAGCTTTGTCATACTGTATGTACAGTATACTAAAACAGCAGAAGTACAACGCTCAACTAGCTATATTTCAAAACTAGAACAAAGATGCCGTGTGCACAGCAAACAGCTGCAAATGTTGGACATGTCAGCCCAATTACAATATAAAAATGTTAAAAAACAGCATGGTTCAAGATTTCAAAAAGTGGACTCAAAGCTCAGCAAATGGCAGAACATAAGAAAGCAAACACGACATCTCAGATACCATCTATAAAAATTATAGTTTAATATTGAAATGACAAATTGCTCTAGTTAGTTTGAAGCAACATTGTAAAATAATTCACACAATATATATGCATTTCTTATCTTATCGAAACAAAAAAACGCAACGTAGAATCACAACTACTCTGAGTGTAGTATTTGAAGTAAATTTCAAGTAATAAATTCAAAGTGAAAAGAAATGTATCTTTGAAATTCAACTGGTACCAAATAATCTCACATATACTGAATTACAAGTCTCCAAAACTGAAAAGTCCTTATGTTGATCGTCTTGTTTTTCTTTCTCTCATTCTTATTTGCCTGTTCTGTTTTCTTCACTGCATTTGGACAATGAAAAACCGACTTTAGCGATTGCAATGGAATTTGCAGAGCGCTGGTATGGGTACGAAACGCTCTGAAGAGCTAACACTTTCAGCGAAAGACAAATTGTCAACGTAATGGTCGTCAATTAGCCCCAGAAGTTGAAGCTGTTCCTGCGCCATTTCGCCTTATATCATGAAAGTTTTCTCCATTTAGCAGTAAAAAAAGTAAATATACACCAACAAGCAAGTGCAAATGATTTTAATTTTGAGTTAGCACTATTTTTGATATGCATAACGCAATAAACTCGTCATCCGAGTGAGAAACTTCAGCAAGCCTTGTTGTTCGCCATTGTGTACCAAGTGTACTGAAAGACCTTTCACCCCGACGCTACGTAATTGGTTGAGGGCAAGACTTTCTTTGCTTTGATTGGCTACGACGTAAAAACATTATATTGATTTCACCTGACCATTAACTCAAGATAAACTAATCGGTTTTCTTATTACTTTGCAAGTTATACTATTGACATACATGCTAGAGTTGATATATATATATATAAGTACTATAACAGCAGCAAGATCAATGATGGTTAAAAAATTCTTTTCTTCCTCGATGGACGCATGAAAAAATCACAATTTTCGAAGTAGGTCCATGGCCTATATGTTTGGGGACTACAAGTGGGTTACGACGTGGCCAATCTGTAATTAAACATCAAACAAAGAATCCTTGTTTTCTTTTAGTTACTCCCCATCTCATTGCTTGTCGCTATCAAAGGAACGATCGAGTAATCAAAAATAACATAACCAATGATAATAGCATGTACGTAAATTTTAGCTAAAGGTAACTTCCTCTTAAGTCTCAACATGGCGTGTGAAATAAATAAACTGGATTCTTTCAATTTCAATTCACTAAAATACGACCGGGACCTAAATAAAGTGTTAGAGATGGATGTTACTATATTTACCAACAGATAAAAATCAGTCATCGATATGTAAATACTCATACCTGTACAAATACTACATACCTGTACAAATCAAATTGGCCATGATAGCGAACTATTTAACATTTTTTAGGAAAAAATGCGTCATCCGATATCAGGATTTTCGATAATGCGGTCAAACATTCATTGATTGTTAAACAAGCTTTCGGCAGTCTAGCTGCAGCCTTGGACGAATTATAAAAGAATAAATTGGTTGTGTGTAACACTAAAATACTCTGACTAAAAATATCAGAGTTGAGTTTCCAACACTCACTTCCCTCGATTGCTGTGTGCGTCATGACTACGACGAGGCGGAATTTGATTGAAATATCAAAGAAATACAAGGACAATTACTGACAAAACACAGTCATTGACAAAAATATAACCACTGGCTAGTCAAATCAGTAATTACTGAAAGTGATTTATATTTATCATTAAAAACATGGTTTCAAAAAAGAAAATAAATTAATGATGTTGTTGACTGCCGTTATTAAAATAAGATATTTACTATATACTTCTACAATGAAAGATAAATCAACAGCTTTCGTTATCTCTCAGTTTTGTCGTTTCATTTTCAATGCAATTATTGTGTTTTAGTAACGTGTTAGTGTTTGTTTCAGCAGAGTTATTATCTAACGTTTATTGTCCTCTGCAGTATGTACGTCACGACGTGGCAAAATGAATTGCAAATGTTCTGTAATTGAACGTCAAATAAAGAATCCTATGTTTTTCTCTTTGTCGTCCTTTGCTCAATAAGACTATTTATGAATATAGAATAAGTCCTACTGTTCATTACAAGTGTTGTTTCGCATTTGCATGTCAACTGATAGAATGATCGAGAAAACTTTTGTAACATGACGTATTTCAAGACAATGTATCATGCAGTTATATTTTGTCTCCATAAGGCATTTAAAATAAACTAAATATGAACATTTGATTGACTGAAATACGAAGGTTAGAATTCATCTTTGTCTACAAAGTGTATTACAATGTGATATCACCATAGTAAAATGGTGACTCCTTCACTTATATATATGTATATGTATATATTAACGTATTTAATATATACGACTTTCCACTTTGGTCATTTGATAAACTACCGAAGTCGTACACGGAATCTCCATTTTTAACAGTTGATCGGATAGGTTGCACGTCTGTAATGGAAACAAAGCCATTTGAGGTAAGCCAATGTCACTCCGATGATTCTTCACAAACCGTTGAAGCACTAGAGGAAAACGAAATCCACTTAACTAAGGACAAGAACATTTTTCCCGCCATTGTAGCTGAGCTAAAACGAAAGCCATCTTCACATAGAACAGAAGCCGAAGGTGCAGAGAACGGCTGGGACGATTAAAGAATTTAACTTATGTTGCTGAGGGATGGGGAAACAGCAATATTTTGTATGAAGTAAAGGTCAAATTGGATGAATGCTATAAAATACTGACTGATGTTCCTCCAAAGGAAAATGGCATAGTGTTGGAAGTGCCAGATACAAAGAAATCTGTCCCAAAATGTAGCGTCGGAGCTGGAGCTTTGAGAAGCGTGAGAGCTTTGAGAAGAGTTGGAGCTTTGAGAAGCTCTTGTTTCTCTAAACGATCGGTTAGAGAAACAAGAGGCCAGACGGGGAGAAACAACGAGAAACATTGCGACAAAGACATGTCGGGTCAGCATCAGCACTACACGCAAAGCACGAGAGTTGCAACGAAGAGTCAACGAACAGTAAAGCGAAAAGAAAATGCATTTATTGTCTAACACAGGGGTCTCCAAACTTTACAGCCAGAGGGCCACATGAACTTTCATCCAGCATGTTGAGGGCCGAAGAATATAAAAAATTTCCACGTTATCCTTCAGCTTTTTAAAATTCACAATGTGCTTGAAACGGAAGTAGGGAAGCTGGGAGAAAAAATTGACGTAAGCTACTCTTGCTAGTTGGCTTGCGACATAACGTGAACTTTCTGCACAAAGTTTATTTTGTTTAATAATAATATTTTTTTACTTAAGTGCCTCTGCGGGCCGGATTGAGAGGCCCAACAGGCCGCATCTGGCCCGCGGGCCGTAGTTTGGAGACCCCTGGTCTAACACAATGCGGAGGAATGTAAGAAAATTACCAATGTAACTGAGAGAAAACAACTCATTCGTAAATACGAAACATGTTTCATTTGCTTGAAGAAAGGATATGTCAGTAAGAATTGTAATTGTAATGATGAATGTAATGCATGTGAGAAGGCACACCATAGTTCAATTTGTGAAGCTAATGGTTTCTTAAAGGCAATATTCAAAACAACCATTCTATTCTAGGATCTCATTCTAGGGTAGCATTACAGACAGAAAAGGCTTTTATGAAGGAATATGAGGAACTTGTTACGGTCAGAGTGTTGTTTGATTCAGAAAGTCACAAGCCATTTGTGAATAGAGAGTGAGAGCATCGAGGCATATAGTGTATACTGTATATCTAAAATCAGAATAAACATGCAGAGTTGAGAAAGAGGGATTATTCACATTAAAAGGGTCTGTGGTTTTCAGAAGTTTTGACTGGAGCTAATTATCTTTGGTGGTTTCAGGAAAGCAATGTTGTTCGGGGACAGATAGATGAACCAATTGCTGTTTCTACTAAGTTAGGTTATGTGTTGTCCGGCCCAGGAAAGCGAGAAATGATTTGGATAACATGCACGCTCAAGTACATTTCATTACTCATGAAATTTCTGGAAATTTAAGTTCAGAGAAGAATGTCAACCTTTTGTGGGATTTTTAAACACTAGGAATAGCAGAGGAAGATGAAGTTCATGAATCGTTAAGGGATTCTATTGTGTTTAATGGTAACAGATGCAGTGTCAAGTTGTTATGAAACAAAGGATATGGTTTAGATTATACGAATTACAATATAAGCTTGAGAAGATTAAAGGGTCCGTTAGTCCGGCTGAAGAGGAACCAGAAATTTTTGAAGAGTATGATAAGACAATCAAAAGTCAGTTCATGAGGGATATTTTTGAACCAGTTTTAGAACTATAGAAAGCTGATAAAATACAGTATTTACCACGTCATGCTGTTGTTTTCAAGGAAGCGAAAACAACTAAGGTAAGAGTTGTTTATGATGCATCGTGTAAGGAGTCACCAAAAACTTCCTCGCTCAATGACTGTTAGCATGTGGGACCCATATTAGCACCATTGCTATTTCATATTTTGATAAGGTTTAGAGAGAAGATAGTCGCTTTAGTGGCAGATATTGAAAAGGCATTTTTGAATATAGAAGTTGATGCTTTGGACAGGGATTGCCTAAGATTTTTTTGGGTTGATGACACAAACATTGAGAGGGTAAGATCTGTAGAGTACTAATTTTGTAGAGTAGTGTTTGGGTTCAACTGCTCTCTATTTTTGTTGAATGCAACGCTGAGTATCATTTAGACTCATTCACGGTGATAGACAAGAATTTATTAAAAAACTCAGAGATAGTTCTTATGTTGATTATTTAGTGTCAGGTGAACAGTTCAAGAAGAAAAGAAATGACGTATTATGAGTCAACAAGTGAGCGATTGGCTGCAGGAGGATTTAGACTTAGAAAGCGGCTAAGTAATGTTGAAAATAGAAAAGAAATGGAAAATAATGAAAGAAGCATTTTAGAAAAAAGAAAGGCAAAAGTTAGTATTTCGAAAATGAGCCAACTTATACCAAGGAATCCGTTGGGGAGAATAGTATTAGTGGGAGTTTTGAGAAAGTACTATATGATTGGGATGGGAGTGTAAGTCGGATCGCTTTTAATTAGCCTCTGGAAATTGTCTTAAAGAGTAAAGGTACTCATTCCAAGTAAACAAAATATACTAAGTACACTTGCTGGATTATTCTATCCCTTACGTCTTATAAATCCAATTGTAGTTTGTGCTAAGTTATTGTTTCAGGAACTATGTATTGAGAAGCAGGCGCGGATCCAGCTCTTTAGCTGACCGATGCATTGCGAGCGCCGGAGGCGCGAGCCACCGCTAGGGGGGTCTGGGGGCATGCTCCCCCAGAAAATTTTTGAATTTTCACTATCCGAGAAGCATTTTCCAGCGATTTGGGAAAGGTGACAGAAAAATCTTTAGCGTAAATTTTATCGAAAAAATAACATGAGCCGTCTTTTGTAAGATAACAGCATTGATAAAAGCAATGTTCAAAGGTGGTCTTCTTCCAACGGTAAAAAAGATGAAAAGTTTAATAAAAGCAATGTTCAAAGATGGTCTTCTTCTAACGGCAGCAAAGATGACAACAATTATAAAAGCAATATTGAAAGATCGTCTTCTTCCAACCACAGCAAAGATGAAATGTTTAAGAAAATCAATGTTTAAACGTGGTCTTCGTCCTCTCAATAACGGCTGAAAACAAGATAACTCTCAAAGAAAATGTAGGTTGTTTATCAGCATTAAGAATTTCTCATGGAGCTCATCGTCAAGCATCTGTTTCTTTATCCTCCAGGATATCAAGAAATTGCATCCTCGTTGGGTTTTGTCTAGCAAAGGTATTAATCACTTCTTCGACATCACACTTAATATCATCATTAATATGCATTTGGGCTAATCCATTTAACCTTTCGTTGATCATTGTGCTACGTAACCAAGTTTTCATTCGACGAAGGGCAGAAACGGATCTTTCACACTCACATGTAGTGACTGGCACAACAGCGAGTATCTTAAGCGCTGTAAATATATTTGGAAACGCAAGTTTGTTACAAGTTCGAAGCGTGTCGGCAATTGAATCGTACTTAACTTTCTCAAAGCCCCCTTTCCAATTTGTTTCCCACAATCCTAATTCAGCATGTATTTTCCGAAAGTGTGGCATATCCTCTTTATATGCAACAGCAAACTTCATAAACTCTTCCTTCCAATTAACGTCCTTGCAATTGAGAAAATACTAGGTATAATATAGAATCCACGATAAATATCGCACAGCTCTGAAGAAAACCGAAATTCCATCTGTTCAATCAAGTGATCAAGAAGAGGGATGGTTAGTTTCATGCGGTAGTATTCACGTGCTGTATGTGCAGGATAGTTTTCACGAGTTGTCTGAACATTGCAAAGTCGAGGAATTTTTCATCAACGTTTACTCTGTTTGCTAAATCCACTGCTTCTTCGTAGTATTGGTCATGAATTGTATCAGCCGAGCTGCGTAAAATTTTTAATTGTGACTTCAAAAGATTTATATGTTTAATTGATTCAGCGATATCGATCATCCTTTGCTGCAGTTGGACAGTCAACGACATTGTGTGATGCAGAACATTTGATGTAATCACAAGATTAACAATAAATTCGAAAGATTTTATGGAACGAAGATATCCCTCTGCGTCCCTACTTGAATTATCAAAATCTTTATTCATATTGAGCTTCATGTACTCTAAACTTTGACAAACAGGTACAAATGCTTCCACAAATCCATCAAGTGTACGTATCCGTTCAACCCAACGCGTTGTGGATGGAGCTCCTAGTTTTTTACGACGTAACCCAGACTTTTCCATATTCTGCCTCAAGCACTGCATTCGTAGGGGGGATGGGCTGAAGAAACTGAAGATCTTTTGAGCATGCCCCAACATGTTTTTGACAGTTTGCTCACCACATGCTTTAGCAACAACAAGGTTCAATCGATGACTAGCGCAATGGATATACAAAGCTTTTGGATTTTTCTTTAAAATACGACAAGCAACTCCCTTTGATTTGCTTGACATTGCACTGGCACCATCATAGCACTGACCACGACAGTTGGAAAGTAGTAGCCCAACTTCGTTTAAAGTATCTTCGATATTCTTCGCTAGCGCTTCGCCAGTCATTCCTTCACACTCATTAATTTCTTGCTTTGAGTCAACATACCTTACAACAATTGGCATCTGCTCGATACTGCTGCAGTCTGTTGCCTCATCACCAAGGACTGAGTAAATTGGGCATTCATTAGAATTGATGTCAGAAACAATCTTTTCTTTGATTTGTTCCCCGCAGATCTTTATCAGCTTGTTTTGAATTGTCTTCGAACGATAAGTTGCATTCTTACTTGCATTTTCAAAATGTTTTTCTAGTTTCGCGTCACCCGCGTCTACTCTAAAATTCAAAAAGGCCTGAAAGTTCCCAGGATTAGAAGATAGAAAATACTTTGAGTCGTCACGATGGCCTCGTAAGGGAAGATTCTGTCTGCCTGCCAGTATAATAGTTTTAATAATAGAGCCTAAAACGTCACGATTGTATTGAATGCGAGCACTTCTAAGATGATCGGCTTGTTCGTCGATGCCAATAGTTTTACCTTTCATCACACGTTGGAACTGCGACAAACGTAACTTGGAGTCACGGTGAATTAGGGAATATTTGTCATGCTGGTAAAATTTTGTTGCCGCACTTTGCCAGTTTCTTAAGGGTTCCTTAAATAATTTACTAAGCTTTGAACCATTATGTCCTGTTTGATGACCGAACAAAACGCAATAATAACAAAAGGCTCCATCAAATAATTTAGAGTAGCACAACCAGGACCAACGATCTAGCCAGCCAGCACAAAATTTTCTTGAAGATTTACTATTCTCAGAAAAAGGAAAATTGAAAGAAGGGGAAGGCTTCCAGTGATTTGTTATAAGTCTTAGCTTTGTGTCGTCATCTAGGGCCGCCACAGATACAAAATGTCCAATATCCAAGGGATCAACATCTGTCATATCAGTTTTTACAGATTTTGACAAGGGACAAGAAGCATTTGATACTTTTCCATCTTCAAAGTCGAATGAAAGAGGTCCTAAATAAAACATTACTAAGATGTAGGTATACGACTACATTCAAAACGCCTGAATGCGTTAACATGCAAGGTCATATATCATAGGTCATTGTTTTTGGTGCATTTGAGTGAAAGCTTGTTGCCAATTTGACGATCTCATGTTTAGAAGGAAGGATTTATTCACATGTACAAAAAATATCCTCCATCCCACAACGAATACTTTATATTGCATGGTATGCTTTACTTATGTTCTTAGAAAATCATGCTTACCTATAATTAAAATATATTTGCACATGAACAATCACTAATTTAACCCACGTTTTAAGGAAGTCTTCAAGCAATCATAGCTGCTGCCATCTAAGTCTTCCCTTGGTGAGGATTTTGCAGGTGCTACCAAAGTTGTGTCTATTTGTTGCTCAAGTCCACTTTTATTTTTCTGTAAGACATCAACTTTAAAGTGGTCAGTAATTTTTTTTTTATTATTAACTCTTGAGTTATTATTTTGATTAAATTCAATTAGTGGTACAAAATGATTGGGTTGAAATTCTATATCTAATTCTGGAAGAGAATAAGCGCCAGTAGTTGTCCACATTAAAATTAACTTAGCAGGCTGAACAAGTTGACTTGAAATATGTTGGTGTGCTTGCCGTGGAAGAATTTTACCATTTAGAAATTGTGAATATTTGGTCTCCTGGTCCAACTTTTCGGGATAAACTGAAATTATAGTCATTCCAGTGACAGACGACAAACCAAATATACACATAAGTGAAGAATAAGTACCATTGCATGCATTATTTAGAGCGTCCTCTTTAACTACTATTACCTTTGTGCTTGGATTTTTCCTATCATAGCCATTGCCTAAAGCCACATCTGATACTGATGCAGAAAAAGCAGTATTTTCTGACTTAAAAAAATGCAACTTATCTTTTAAGTAAGGGTGGTTAGCATAATACTCCTGGTGATTGAATAGCTCAATGCTTGTTAAGTCTCTCAGCAAATGACATAGGTCTTCCTTGCCACAAAGTAATTTTGAGCAGGCTCTGTACAGACAATTACCATCACCTCTAGTTCTAAATATAGCAGAGTTAAGAAAATTCTCATTGTGTGGTTAAAAATTAGAAATCAGAAGAATTCAAAACTTAAATGTCTGACAGGGTTATTTGGAAAAGAAAATGTTAGCTTCTACTGAAGTCATAAGTATATTGGAAGAAGGAATACAGTCATTACATTTTTAATGTAATCCATACAGTACATAAACTAAAATGCAACTAAAATCGCACCTACCCTGCATATTACAGTTTGTATTATATTACATATGAATGCAAGTATAAGTGCTGCATAAGTAATATGACATCGTGTATATTTTATGATGATTGTTCGTCGTTGTCTACACGACTACACTCTGAGTCTGAAATGAGTACACTATTTACATTTAAAACATGCAAGCATAAAGGTAAATTTACTTACTTTAAAGCTCTTAGTTCTCCACTTTGCCAATGAACTGTCAAGTGCTTAGGTATTAACATTTCACTTGACATATCTCTCCCATTTTACCCTTTGAAAGGGATTCCAAGGAGAGGATTTTGAAATAAAAGTAGCAGCTCTCGTTTCATAGGTTCGACGCACTCCATTAATATCAAATGACTTCTCTTCTCGAAGCAGAGTACACAGATCGTGTTTGATATTCTCGACAGCCATGACTTCGATCGATGATTGTGAGTTATATCAAGTGATCAAATAACAATGCATTCAACTTTGAAGTTCAAAGTTGAATGCATCGGTGCCATGTGCCCACAATCACAAAATTATGGAAAATGCATCGCTCAGCGGCAAAATCTACCGTGACGTGAGGCCCTAAAACAATGGTTTTGCTGATGTCACAGTAGATTTCACGCGGAAAAGGACTCGGGACCGATGCATCGCAAATCTACTGTGACGTAGCGATGCCTCTCCCATCTACCGTGACGTGCTGGCAGAATACTATTAAATTACTTACTAATTATGTATTCACGACAAAATTTCGCTAAATTTTATCGACTTTTCTTTCGCTATTTGTGTCATGGAATACGACAAAATTATCGGAGAACACAAATGTTATTTCTAGAACAAATTTTAGCTTAAAACTGCTAAATCTATAAGTTAACTAAACAATATATCACTGTCAAATGTGCGTTTTAAATAATTCGAAAATAATATTTGCTATTTATTTCATTAAAATGCAAACTCGCAGATTTTAATATCTAAATATTTTGACTGATGCATTCGCATCGGTTGCATCGGTCTAGATCCGCCCCTGTTGAGAAGGTTGAATCGGACAAGGAGTTGGAAGTTGACAAGAAAAAACGTTGAGAGAGGTGGATAGAAGATTTGGAGAGAGTCAGGAATTTAGTGGTGGCGAGATGTGTGTATGGTAATTTATTTGGAAAGACAAAATCTTACTTGCATGGGTATTCAGATGCCAGCCTGAAGGCATACTACGCGGTTGTATATAATGTGACAGAGCTAAACGGTGACTACCATGTAGACGCGGAAAACAAGGATATATGAAAGTAAGGAGGTGAAGTCATATTCGGAGGTTGATCGGTTAATATGGAAGTTTAATTTAGCAAGGACACCCTGGCAGGGTGGATTTCCTGAAAGAATGGTAGCATTGGTGAAAGCTTGTCTGAGGAAGGTGTTGGGTAATGCTAAATTGAACAAGGAAGAACTGTAAACAATATTAGTTGAGGTACAAGGTACGTTAAACTCTAGACCATTGACTTATGTATATGAAGAAGAACTGAATGTAGATGTACTGACTCCTGCACATCTTATGTTCGGAAGAAAATTAACATCTATTCCAGACGAAGGAATACTATTAATGACGAAGATGCAGAAGAGGTCAAGCGTGGGTTTAGGTATCTAGCGAAATTGAGAAAGCATTTTTGGTCCAAATGGAGGAAGGAATACTTAACAAGTTTAAGGGAGTGTCATAAGGTTGGCAAAATAAAGGGTATTTTGTGTACGAAAGTAGGTTATGTAGTTCTTGTGTTCGAGGAAAGTTTGAAAAGAGGATTTTGGAAAATAGCGAGAATCGAGAGATTGATCAAGGGAAAAGATAATTTAGTCAGAGGAGCGGAAGTCAAAGACGTTAGCAAAAGAAGGCCAATGCACATAAGCAGGCCTCTTCAGAAACTGTGTCCACTTGAACGGGATGGATAGGTAAGTAAAGACAGATGTGTAGAAATGAAGAAAGAAGAATTTAGTGAGATAGGAGAGGTTTCAGAAAATGGTGGCAGTGTAGAAAGTGATAAGAGACCAAGAAGAACGGTAGTTCGAAACGCATTTTGGCGAACAAAAGTTTTGTTTGACTTTAAAGGCTTAAAGGAAGGAGTGCGTCGGAACTTATGTAAATAAATAATAGATAATTGTTATTCGATACTAGGAATTTATGGAAGAACGGAAGTAGGAAGTTATGAAAAACCTTTATTAGTTGTCACACGTTACCAGTAAGTCTTCTTCTGTAGCTGGTTGTGAATGTAAATACTTGAAATATTAAAGATTATCTGTAATGTAGAATAGTTATATTCAGTAAAATTGAAAATTTTGTATCGACTGTGCATACAAATTGGATAGCATACAGTCCGAAAAATTAATTGGCAGACGCATAACTGCTTTGTGCTAAGGCACAAGAGAGACAATTGCTACAACAAACATTAAAGTAGTTCGAAGAATTCGAGATAATAAACTGTTTCTCCGTTATAGACAAAGTTCCTCCAGTTTGGCGGTCATGGAGAATTTTCAGGGAAGCATCGTTAACCACAAAAGGAAGCATCCATAGTTCATGGGAGTGGTGTGCGTGTCATGGGTAATAAGACTGTAAAATCGAGAAATTATTGCCCTCTACAATGCAATTGGCAAAATCTTTGTGATCTCTTACTGACAGAGGCTTTTTAACATTAGAACGATTGTTTTATCACGCTTGGGAAGACGCTGTCAACTTCCTGATCAATTTGGCCAAGTTACATTTTTTTACCAGATCTGAGTAATGCGTGTTTTCGGTTAAACACTGATTTCTGTGGATGAATTACAAACATTGAGTCATCAATTTTTTTAAAGCGTCAATGACACATTTGACGCAATCATCATGATTTTTTCCAAGTCATCAATATAACTAGCAGTTATTTGCCCTTATGTACGTAATTCTAACCAATGCTGATTAAGTAGCTTTGTGAATAGTCTGGAGCAGCTGGCTAAGCCATTAGGGAGGCAAGTGAATTAATATCATGATTGATATAGATTGCTATCGCAAATAAACTAACTGTCTTTAATGTCACAGGTTAATGAGATAAAGGCATCTTTTGAATCTAAAGACGCTGTGAAACAAATTTTTCCAGATTAAATAAACGATCGATCGCAGTTTCTTCATTAATATTTTAGTAACTTTTATAATCTTATCATAACGTTTTGTGCGTCACAAAATTTTCCGATCTTTTCCTGTTTCATTAATAATATACATGAAAAAAATTCTCAATTCTGAATGGTTTAAATCGGGAGTGCAATTTATCGTAAATAGCAGTAAAATATAAGGAAATTGCATAATTTCCTTTATGACATCTAAGTGAGAAAGATATGAAGTGAATGATGCTCAGTAATGAAAACTACATCTTCAGGTTTTGCTTAAAATAATTGCCTCGCCAAGTTTCCTAAAAACAATGTCCAAAAGAAATCTCAGTAAATAATAGTCAAACAATTTTACACCAGTTTAAATTTAAATATTTCAATACTTTCAATAACCCTCTGAAACCTCGATATTTTTTTTAAATGTTTTGATTCAAATTGAGAAATAACTAAAAGAATAGAATATCGTCGCTGTATCGACGCAAAGAGATTGACGCAGATGTTAGATATACGATCGCATTTTTAATGACTTTTTCTAATGTAAATAATGTTTTAGTTACGTACATTTGAGATTTAAAATGCTTTAGTAGCTACATAGTGACCTGTTCTTTTAAACTGGAGCTTTATTGTTAAAGCCGAAGCAAGGTTAGTTTTTATAAGTTGTTTTCAAACATATGAGCAATTGAACTTTTATACCTGGAGTTTCTCAAATTTAATTTAAACCAGAAATACGTATAGTTATGTTGTGATTGGGAAGCTTTGTTTTTTATGGTTGCCTACAAGGTTACTCGAAAGATTCGATTAAGGACGTAAAAATTTTATTCCACTCCACATTAAGTAAAGTTCCGTACATTTCGTTCTTATATATAATATATTAATCCTACTGAACATGTGACTTAGCCGAGATTTGAACTCGCACCTTTGGGATACGAGTACTCCGCTCTACTTGTTGAGCTAACAAGACCACAGGTTTAGGAAACGTGTCAAATCTATTTTAAACTGTGTATGAACGAGAGATTCTCGCTACTATAGCAGTTTTCCGGATGGCACCGGGTTTTCGACTTTATTCCAATAACATCATTAGAGAAAATATGTAATATATATATTCTCTGATGATGGCTTTCGTTCTTTAAGCTAAGAATCAATCGGATATGTAAGTTATAGTCATTGTATCATTACATATTTATGTCATTAGATATTTATGTCCTATGTTGTACATTTAATGTAGATTGTGTTTTCTTGGGATTCTTTTTGGTTTGTGTACTCAGAAAAAATTAGAGAATAACGACCATGAATTCTTCAATGAACATCACAAATTATCTGCTGTCTTGTAACTTATGGAATATTGAATCCCGTTACTTTGACGATAGTTTTTCAAGCAACAATGTGTTATTACATTACATGGCGATGGGAATTTTTATTTCTTTTGTCATTCTTTTCACTATTCTTCTCAACAGCGTGGCGATAGTAACCATTGTAAAATCATCTCAGTTAATGAAGAAACCATGTTATTTTATAATCCTCGTGCAATCTTCCATCGATTTTTCTACAAGTGTAATGGCAATGCCGTTTTCGTTGGCCTATATAGTTGGCACGTTAAATACATCGCACAACTGTGTTGTCAATACGTTCAACTTTATAATGATTGTTTTATCTTATGAAGTATCACTTATATGTTACGCAGCTTTAACATGGGAAAGATACGTCGCTATTTTACAACCGTATGCTTACACTACGAGAGTGACTAAGCGAAAATTGATGATTGCATTAAGTTGTGCGTATCTGTTAGACCTACCAATAAGTGCAGGATTTTTTATTTTCTGGGTGAAGAATTTGATTAATTTAAGTATCATAAAGTTGACGGTTTTTTTCTCTCTTTTTTTGTATACTTACACACACATATATATTGTTGTCAGAAAACTTTCTCGTCAAACAAGCTCCATGGCATCTTCAGATGGAAATATTTCTCGAACAAAATTGTTTTTTCAACAAATCAAGCTAGCACGATCTTGCTTCTTTGCTATTGTCTGTTTTCTGAGTTTTATGATATCGCCGATAGTTGTAATATTTGCACTATCATACACTTGGCAAAGTGGTTCTGTTAACATGCACATCTTGTCATCATGGATGTTCTTAATTTCTTTCTCCAACTCCTTTGTAAATTCC